CAGAGGGTGGGGGTAGAGTGGCAGAAGGCCCGCCCGCCAATAGTGGGGTGAGCAAGGCGGAGGAAGTGAAGCAGGCCAGAGCCCGCTGAGCAGAGGGAGCGAACAGGATGGTAGGAGGTTAGGAGGTAGGAGAGGTAAGGGGGAGCAAGACTGAGGAGGGCTTTGAAGGTGAAGACTAGGATCTTGCACTGTATCCTCTGTGTGATGGGAAACCAGTGGAGTTGGGCGAGGATGGGGGTGATAGGGATGCGGAGCCTGGTGGGGGTGAGGACATGGGCTGCAGAGTTCTGGATGATCTGCAGCCTGTGGAGGGAGGAGTTGGGGAGGCCGACAAGCAGTGAGTTTGCATAGTCGAGCCTCGATGTAATGAATGCACGCATAAGGGTTTCGGCGGCCTGGGGTGTGAGACAGTGGCGGAGCCGGGCGACATTGTGGAGGAACGTTGGAAGGATGTCGCAAGGCACTGAATCCCATCTCCCAATTGTTCTGTTGTAACTTCCATTGTTAGTGAAGTGATTGAGGCGCAGTGTGGGTGGGGGAAGCTCTCTCATCTCAGGTTGGATTTTGTAAACTTTCCACTGAATATTCAGACTATCCAGACTCACTCCCGTTGGTGTGAAATTGGGCAGTTTCGAAGTTCAGAGCCAGAGACACCTTCAACACCTTGTGGGCCAACAATTTGGTATTTAAACAAGCTGCAGAGAGTGGCCAAAACTCCAGCCATCGGTGTGGGAGATGGGGGCTCACAGTGGGGAAAGTGTGTGTGTGGGTTTGGATCACAGTGGTTCTTTTTACTGATATCGTGGTTGCTCTCACTCCCTCCTGCAAGCTGCCAGTCCTTCCAAGCAGTCAGGCCATCCTCCTACGCGCAGTTTCCATGCTTGAAGAAAAGGAGGCTGGTGTTGGAAAGTACTGTTAGTGATCAGTCCAGCAATGATTTCAGTATAAAATGAGTCTTTGACTGGGCTGAAGGCACCTCTGCGGAGTTCTTTACTCACTGTCACAGCTGTTTATTTTTGATCGGTTACTTCTCCACGGTAATGCTTTGGCTTCCGAGTCCTTAGCTACAATGGACTTTGTGCCTACGGTCCAAGCTGACGTCCTCGTGCATTACATTGTTCCATCCTTTGAATGAGACGTTAAACCAAAGTCCTGTTTGCCCGTTCAGCTGCACGTTCAAGATCCCTTGGCAAAATTTGAATAGAGAAGGGAATTTCTCCCGGTTTCCTGGCTAACAATCCCCAAAATAAATGAATCATTCAATTCATGGCTGTTTGTTGGACATTGCTATGTACAAGTTCGCTGCTGCATTCACTACCAAATATACAGTCACTGTACTTAATAGTAATTACTGTAAAGTGAATTTAGACGACTCAACTCTTGTCCATGCTTTCCTCACCTCCCGCCTCGCCAGTCTCCCCAGCTCCATTATAATAATAAATAATAATCCTTGCATTTGATATAGCTGTGCACTATCCATATAGGTTACAGAGTTAACTGGAGCCGAGTAGAATGAATCCCAGTGACTTGCCGGCTCCTCCAAGTCCTGGTAACGTGCCAAACTATATCTGATTTGCCAATAACAGTGGTTGGAATACGGTAGACCTGCCTGGCACAGATAACAACAGATTACGGAAGTTCAACTCGATTCCGATCCTCTGCTGCCTGGCCTGTCACTGTAGAGCTAGCTTAGCCACAGAGAGACTCTATTTAATGCCCCTCCAAAACCAACACCCCTTCCCTGGAGTAGAGTTATTTGTTGGGCATCGGAATCTTCCATTTCAAAGAACGGTTATTAAGCAATGCAAATTCTTCCTCATTTTCTTTCAACTTCTGCTTAATTTTGCGTTGGAATGCTTTGGCCATCAAATAGGAGAAAATGTGGTGCTTGAAGAATTTGGGTGCCATGTGCACAGAGAAGGGTTCATTTGGATCCATCAATGTATTTAGTCTAGTCATGATAAAGGCTTGTTTTTTTGCGCCAAGATTGCTGCACCATTACTTGCCCATTGCATTTCAGTCTGCCAAATAAAGGCCTGGAAGACTAGTATCTTTAGTATTCACCCTGGTCCAGGCCTGCCTCATGGATGATATTCCTTAACTTGCCCTTGGCTCCAGTTGGCAACCTCTTTGCAGATCCGCAGGAACTGTCATAGGCGTTGAGTGACCAACCACCCTGAGCCCTGCCCACACTGACTCCTTCTTCTATGTGAATCTCCAGCGTCGCGGAGCTGTGTTCGATCTCATCAGCGTGCTTCATCTGAAGGCAAGCTTGGGCGCTGCACCAACCTGCTGCCTTCTGGCCAATTAGAGTTCCCCTGACGTGCGGAATGGCTCGGCATATGTCAAACCACGCCCTGTAGGGGAATCCAGGGTGTAAGTGTCATTCAATTGACATACAGACCCCAGTTTGCCGGTCAGAGCTCTCAATATTTCCCAAAGCAACCGTATTGTTTTTTTCCAAAACTTCTTAAATTCAGTCACAATTCAGAAGCTGTTTCTCTCCTCTCTCCTCTCCCTTCCCCTCCCACCACCACTTTCAAAAGACTGACCTGCTTCCATCTTCCATTCCCAATTTAAGAATTTTCCAAAATTAACGCACAATTAAAATGACGGTCGTAAGGTTAAGACCATGGGGATTTCAGGCCTCTGCTGTCTCAATGAAATTCTACTTGTTCCTGATGTAAAACACCACACTTGCTGGTGTAGATGATGATTTAACTACACGGCAGCTGTGCCTGAACCACAGTCATCAACCCTTAATCCCTGTGGTAGTTATTTTTATGAGCGTAAAGGGGCTGATATTCTTGTCCTGCTGGTTTGACCATCTCTATCTCAAAGATGAGAAGCCATTTCTTTCTACCTGATGTGCAAAAGGAATGCTTTCTAAGGTTTATGTTGGAGGGGGGCGGGGTGGTCATTGGCCATTTTTGTTTGGTCAGCCAGGTATCTGACACATGTGGAAACCCATCACCATGCTTAAGAGTATCCAAAACAAACAGATTTCCATTCATCCACCTAGACATGGAAATTTCGGAAATAGTTATTGGAATGGAATGCGCACTCACCCCGGAGGGACGCAGCCTACTTACCTAATTCCAAAGAGTATTAACTGCAGGTTGGCAAGAGCCAAGGCTTGGGGACTGCAGAGTGTGTGATGGGGATAACCACTGGAGTCTAACCAGCTAACATCGCACAGCTTGCCGTTGATATCACTGCCCAGCAAGGTCTCCTGGTGCCTTATCCAGCTAGGACCACCCTAACTGTTAGGGCTTTGGCTTGCAGGGTTACCAAGAGCTGAGTGGGATGACTCCCTGCCCCCAGTGACTGGTCTGCCCTTCCAAATCCTGCTGATGATCCAGGCTGGCTGTCCTGTCAGCAACAGTGCCCTTGAATACTGCGGAACTGCCTGGCTCAGGAACCGGACTACCAAGACCGCCACAGAGCTAGTTCAGCTCCCCAGAAAGAGCTCCCGTTTATTCTCCCCCCCCCCCCCCCCCCAACACCTCCAGGGAGGATAAGAAGGGGGCTTAATGGTCATAACCATTGTGAACCACAGGCAAGTTCGGGGAAATTCTAGGCTTCCTGAGGACAGTATTGTTGATGCGTTGTGTGTATAAATATGTGTGTGCGTATCAGTTTAAGCTCACACACAGCGATTGACGTGTAGATGACCAAGATGGGTTTGGCTGGCCGCACTTCTGTACATGGGTTTGGGGCAAGAAGAATGGGTCCAGGTACAGAAAAGCTTTTGGCTGGGTGAAAGATCTGATTTAGTTGTGAATAAGAGTTGCACATTCTCGCCACACCTTGCTCCTTGTACCTTTTATGCTGCTCTTGGATTCATTTCAAATTCTCACAGATTTTTCAAACGTACCTTGCAACTTGTGTGTGTATGTGTAAGTGTCGTAATGTGTGCGTGCAAGCACTTCCAAGACAGAGCGTGCGTGGGGGTACATCTGAAAGCGCACTTGGTCGCGTGCGTTTCTGCGGGTGTGTGCATGCATGTACGCACACGTCACAATACGTGTGTGCATATGCCAGGACGTGTGCGGGCAAGTGTATCCAAGACCGAGCGCGCATGTGTGCACATCTGAGAGCATGTTTGTATGGGTGTGCTTACGTGCATGTGTGTGTGGGTGTGCGCATGCATGTGTGTGGGTATGTGTCCGTGCCTGTGTGTGCGGCCCCACCCCTGCCTGACCAGTGTTAACAATCAGGTGGTGCACGAACCTGAGCTGAGGTGACCTCGCCTGACCTGTTTTCCCATCGAGTGCGTTGGGAAAGCAGACGTTAACAAAATCCCACTGAGCAGCTATTGTTTTAGGGAAAGACAAGCGGAGCAGTGCCTGTCAGCTCTTCAGTGAGCGGGGAAGTGAAGCCAATCCATTTGAGGCGGTGGGTGTGGGTTTGGGGGGCTGGGAGTGTTGGGAAGCGAGGGAGAGAGAGAAAGAGAGAGAGAGAGAGAGAGAGAGAAAGAAAGAAGGTTTGCTCAGTTTTCTCCGTTCATCCCACAGTGTCTGAATAGCACTGCTGGAGGGGGAGAGACAGAGAGAAGTCAGGCCTGTCTGCTTTCCGCTCTGTTGGAGCTCCAGCGTTTGTTTGCTGATGGCAGAGGCAGCGAGAGCGCTCGCTCTCTCTCTCTCTCTCTCTCACCCGGCTGTAGCAAATGAACAGACTGCACTCCACCCAATAAAAGGGTGTAGCTAACAAGGCTACACCTTCAAGTTGGAGGCTGTGCCCATTTCCTGGCTTTTTTTTGGAGGGGCGGGGGGCGGGAGGGAGGGGGAGAAAGAAAATTAAAATGGGCTGTGCTGGATTTCTACCTCACCAGAGAGGATTTTTTTCTCTCTCCCCTTTTCCTCGTTCCTTTTAAGTTGCAGGCAGCAGCCCAGCCCAGCCCAGCCCTCGCTGCGTCTGGGTGGGTGGGTGGGGGAAGATGTTTGGTGTGTTCTGACAGACTGCTTTTCTTCCCACCCCTCCCCCGCCCCTCTCCGCAGAGCTCTGTAGGCACTGGAGATGTTGAGTACAGCAGTATGTTAATGCTTGAAGGAATGCCAGCCGTAAGAATCAAAACTGAGCCACCGGAACCCAAGCAAGGGGTAAGTCGAACTCTCCAGACACTTCCTTAATGACTTCCAAACCCCAGGAATGTCAGCAACAGGCTGCGATCGTCCATCGGTCTGCCCGGGGCAGGAAAATCATTTTTTTAAAATTCTTTTGTTTCACAGACTTTTTTTTTGTCTTCCAAAATCTCTGTGTCAGTTCATTGCTTGCTTTCTCCCTCTCTCTCTCTCTCTCTCTCTCTCTCTCTGTCTTGTGCTGTTCTGTTTTGGATTACCCCCTCCTTGACTCAAAAGTGTCAAAAGATAATTCGCAGAGTGAATAAATGCCCATTAATCCTGGCCATGACTACTAAGTTGTAATTCTCTTATACGGACTGTACTGGCCTGAGATCATTCCCCTCTTTTTCCTCCCCACCCCAGCAATAGCAGCAGTGGTCAGTCCCTACTTGGGTTCTGGGCAGATGAGGGTGGATTCAAGGTGGGGGAAAAAATTGACCGAGGACACTCACTCGCCTTTCACTTACTCCTAATATAATGCTTACAGAACCACATCTGTCCACCTGTGGGTAAGATCCCTGTACCACAAAGCTCGCTTTCTTGTGTATTCGTTTGCGTTGGGTTCAACCATTGTTGTTAACAAGAGTTTTCCCCCACTGCGTTGAATGAGATATTCAGAGCAGAATAATTTTGCAAAAACATGTTGAAAATAAGAAGAGTTTTCTCTCTCTCCTCTCTATCTCTCTCCCACCCTCCCTTCCTTCCTTCCTTCCTCACTCCCCCTCCCCCTCTTCTCACCCCTCGCCTATCTACGAATTCCTGTTCCCCAAGGATACCAGGCACAGCCCTGAGCTCCTCCCTGCTTTTCTGGGAGTGTTTCTGTGTCATTCCAGAAACACATGGGACAGAAACTCGGGGGATTATTTCACTGAGTGTAAAGAAGCAAAATGCGTCTTTGATTTAGTATAACTTGAACCCCCTTTTTTATTTATTGATTCCCATCCCTCCTGCGAAAGAATACAGAGGTACGTTCTGAGTTGCTCTGTGTATCAGAAGCTGTTTTAGCTGCTTTTTAATTAATTGTCCTCTGAGTACTTCCAGTTCCAACAATTTGCATTCAAAAAATGAACCAAAAAGTTCAAGCTCGTGAATTTGCCTCTTTTTGGGTGCCTGTGTTTTGGGTGCCCTCCTGCCCTGGTGCCCTCCCTGTAACTGCACATTGTTGGAAGCTGTACTGCCTGACTTTGTTCCTGCCATTGGTTACTTGAGATGGTTTATTTCACCATTGCCCACCCCCCCGGCATGCCCAACATTCTGACTTCGGCACCTTCAAAACCCTTCTGAAAAACCTACCCCTCCCATAAAGCCTCTGTTCATCTCCCTCATCACCCCTATCTGCTGCTTTGCTCGGGCTCACGCTTCATCTCCGTGAAGCACTTGAAGACCTCTTAACTACGTGAAAGGCGCTGTATATGCACAAATTTGTTGTTGTTTCCCTCAAATACGAAGCAGCAGTTGATGTATTAAGCTGACCCCTGTGTCTGTGTTAGCTGATCTCTGATGGTAGGACTAATCCTTGTGGATTATTCCATCTCCATTATTGTAGCAGGCCATTACCAGGATTGCAGAAGGTGAACTAGAATGCGGGTCTTGGCCTTTTTTCTTCTAGCAATCCTATGTTCCTAGGAGCAGTATAATTGGCCTCAGTGTCCTGCTGTAGGGATGGGGAAGAAAATCCCACTGCTCACCTCTATCTAACGACCTCTGCCAGAATGTGCATGTCAAACTGGGGCAGGATCAGGCTTGGCTGTGATTAATTTGCAAGTACGCACATGGAGAGTGGCTAATTGGGGTGAGGTACCTGAGGGCCCTTTAGCCATGGAAGAAAAGCTTGATGGGAGTTTTATCATGGGAAGAGGGAGATTTAGAGAAAAGAAAATCAAATGTTTTAACAACTTCCCCTCCCAACTTGAAAGGCGCTATACAAATGTAATTTGTTGCTGCTGCTGTTGTTGTTCCCTTTTTCCCACCTGAGTTAGAATCTTCCGTGCAACCCTTGCAGCGCACTTTCGCGGTTTAATAGATTGCAGGCGCGAGAGAGGAGGTGGGGGGACGAGAAACGGAGAGAAGGGGTTGGGGAGAAGAGAGAGGGTGTGGTGGAGGGAACGAGCGAGGGGGGGTGGGGGTAAAGTGAGAGAGGGAGGTGGAGGGAACGAGCAAGAGGGAATTGAGGATAAATAGAGAGCGAGGGGGCTGAGGAGAAAGAGAGAAGGAGGGAAAGTGTGATTAGGTTTGGGGATTCATATGGAGAAAAACACCAGTGAACTTGATGGGCTGAATAACCTGTTCTGTGAAGTAATATTCTGCAGCCCAGAACGTATAACTTATCTTTGCCTTCTGTAACTTACCTTTACTACAGAGGAATGAGCAGCCCCTCTATCAGATTTGAAGTGAACTTCACAAGAACTCGTAAAATGTGAGTTCAGATACAGCTCTTGTTGTGGCCTTTGTCATAAACCTCTCTCTCTGACTCTTGGCTGCACAGAACATTCCCTTGGGATATCTTTAACTTTCCAATTTTTTTAAAAGTTTTTTTTACACACAGCCTCGTTTGTACTTTTGTAGAACTGCAGTACAACTGTGATTGTAGATCATCAAGGCCAAATTTGTTTAACGCACAAAGTTACCGTTCTGGGTCTGTCACTTGCAGCTCTGTTTTAATCTTGACTAACTGTGGAGTCCCGATGTGTAGTGGTTAGAGTGCTCACCGCGCAAGTGAGAGGAGCTGGGTTTGATTCCTGGGCGGAGTGAAACCCTAGGTAAGTTTCCTTAAACCACACGTTTCTGTTTACCTAGGAATAATAATGATAATCCTTGTATTTGATATAGCGCCTCATCTTGTCTTTGAGATGTCTCAAAGCGCTTCACAGAGTATACTGTAAAGTGAATTGATTGTATATTTTGTGGGCGAAACGCTGCAGCAATTGCAATTTGGTCACAGCAAACAGTCGTGGATTGAAATGACCAAATTATTCTTTTTTTTAAATAGGAGCCTGATTGTTGGTCGATTGGTGGATCGCTTTCCAGGGGGAAATAATCCCTTAAAAACAAAAATGGTGGTCACTCAATCTACAACTGTTTGTGGGACACTTCTGTGCGCAATTGGCTGCCGTGTTTCACCCAGTATATTCTGTGAAGTGCTTTGAGGTATTCAAGGACAGGGTAAGGCACTATATCAACCGAAATGATTATTATAAACTATTATAAGAATCCGTGGACAAGTACCAGAGGTTCCATCAGAGTGGAGCAAATTAAATTGGGTGGATAGGACCTCATTAAAAGGGATTTACTTGATTCTGGTGAAGCTTCAAAGTGTATCTTAGGCGGTGTCCCCTGGTTTAACTGGTGTTTCATCCTGTATTTCTTGTGTCCTCAAATTCGGTACTTTAAGGCTTATTGGAAAAAGTGCCATTGTGTTCACTTTCCAACTAAGCTTTACTCTTGTTGTTAGAAAAAGGCCTGTTTCGATCAATGCAGAATGCAAGTGCATACTGGACCCTAACAGGAACGTCTGTGTCACCCCATTGGCATCTACACACAGTCTATCATCACAAAACTCCCTTGAATGTGGTACAGGCCTTTCCTTGGGAGCCAAGGTGATTGGAGTGGAGGTGGCCTTGTACAAGATATCCCGAATTGCCTACTTTCCGGAATGGAATGTCTTTGCTTTAAACCTGATCAGTTTAGCACTGAGTCCGAGTCGGACTACATTTCCGGCTCCTGTCGCTGTGTTTGTGCAACATTGTTAAAATTGCAGCTAAATTGAAAATAATAAAAATCCTTACAGTTGATGCAGCTGCTTTCACGTCGAGAGGATGGTTTTAAAGTTTTTCACAACTTATATTTTGGGGGGGGCAACCATGCACACCGCAGTGTTCCACAAATGACCATGATGTGAATGATTGATTTTATTTGTGGGGATTCTTGGCCAGCAAAAGCTCCTTCTCTTTCTGAACAGTGTCATGGGCTCTTTAACGTCCACCTGAATGTTACGGATTAAAGTCTCATTCAAAGACGGCATCTCCGGCAATGGAACATGTCCCCAGCACTGCATTGGAATGTCAACCGAGACTACACGAGTTCCAAGGCTTGATGTAGGACTTGATGCCTTAACATTCTGACTCAAGAGGTGAAAGTGCTACCAATTGATCCTGGCTAAACACATCCTCCGTGAATTTTAAATAAAAATAGAAGTCGCTGGAACAAGCAGCAGGTCAGGCAGCATCTATGGAGAGAGGAAAATTAGTTAATGTTTCAGGTTGATGACCTTTCGTCATCGATTTCCAGCATCTGCAGTATTTTGCCCACTGTGAATCTTAGTTCCCTTCAGATTCATTCTGGAGAAATTCCAGCTAGGTATAGTGGGTGGAGGTGTGTGTGGCGAAGAGAGAGGAAAAGCAAACCTCCAAATGGACAGAAGGTCAGTCAATCAGCGTGCAAAAGAGAATCTGAGTTTTAGGTGAGTTTGAGCCACAGTAGTTGAAATATTAACTTTTCCATGTACTGAAGGAAGTTGCCCCCACTGTGGATTTCCAGCAGTTAACTTTATTTCGCAAGTCACAGTGGAAATAAGCGAGAGAGAGATTCTGTAACATGCTCAGGAAACTTAATGTGTTAACCATTTCTGTCACCTCACAATCGATATCACTTGATCCAGAGATGAAAACTGCCCCTACCCCCCTCTCTCTCACTCATTACATTTTGGAGAGAACAGTAGAGTCTGTTGAAGGGTTGGCTGTTATGTGGGTAACGTTCTTTACCATTTGCAACCAACAGCTGTGGAGACTGCTGTGTTTGTACCTTGGACTCCTGTGAAAACAGGAAACATGTGCCACCTGTTTGGGTGTGTGTTCACTTAATCTGTGGCCTCTTATGTTAGCAGTGGTGATGTTCTGTTGTCGTTTTGGTAATGATTGGCTAAAAGCCACTCCTCCTGTGTGATCAAGAAGAGCATTGAACAGTCAACCGAATTTCACATT